ACATGGCAAAGAGAATGGCTGAAAAGCAGAGAAAAGCATGGACTTTCTGTTCTTCATAAACAACTCGAGGCGAGTAGCTATTTCTGAATTTCTGCTTGTTTTGCCGGAAATACAACAGGCATATTCATTCATAAAGCTGAACGTCAAATTTGGCACATTCGGAATAACAAATTAAAAAAAGAGCTGTATAATTAAACTAAAATTATTATATAGACTATATGGTTTTTTTAATCTTCTGATTGGTCAACTTCAGATGGATCGCCAAATCGTCTCCTTCAACCGCAAATACGGCACGAATTTAAACCGACAGCGACCGATTTTTTTTTTACATGTTTGAAATTATCGGGAGGACGGGAGGTGCTCGTAATGTTCTCGGATCGGCCCGTAATTCTTCTCACACGGTACGAGCCGCGACCATGTGAGCATTTGCGATTTTTTTGCGAAAAAATTGCCTGCAAGCTCGTACGGCAGCAAAAATCGCACCTTGTACGCCCGCCTTTAGTGTAAAGAACATTCTATTGGTCTAAAGAACCTTTTTCCACCATGAAGAACCTTTAGTGCAATGGAAAGGTTCCCTGGATGTTAAAAGTTCTTCATGAAACCATAAATAACAAAAAAAAAAAAAAACTTCATTTTTAAGAGTGTACAGGATAGCTGAATAGGGAAAGTGAGTAAAAAAAGAAAGAGGGACGTCTCAGATATTTGTTCCCTCAGAACAGAACACCAGAAAAGATTTAATCCATCTCAGGTGATGGTGCTCTCATTAAACCATCTCTGATCTCCTCAAATATGCCATCCATCCCTCCCTCAGTTCAAACTCTTTGTCTAATGATATTCTCTCTCACGCACACTGAGTTCTCAGAGATTCACCAAAGCGATCACTTCACAGATTGACGGCAGGCTGCGGTGCGACAGGAGAGGGACACAGTGAGCACAACCACCAACCCCGTCTAACCTGCTGGAATAAAAGAGTCACTCCTGGCCAGAAAGAACGGCTGGGTGAGAAAGCTGTATGTACTTTACAAAACGAAATGAACGTCAATTCCATAGAAGATCACTTCCATTATGGATTAGAATGAAAAGACATGTCACATTTTCCGAAAGAAGAGTGTCAGAATGTTATTATTATTTTTATTAATAAAGAGACTCTGGAGCAGTCACCCATCCTGTCACGCACTTCATCAAGACATTAAATGGCACGAACATAGCAAGAGCCAACATTAACACTTACACCCATAAACCTGGGACCTTGGGTAAACTTGTACAAAGTGTAGCTCTAAACAGTTCTTTTTGTCCTTACTCTTTTTTACCCGTCTTCCCGAACAAATTTTATTGACCTGATCACTGTATAACAAAGAGGTCTTTTACATCTTACAGTCTGCTCTTTCATTTTCAAAAACAGGCCAGTTTTTCTGACATATATTCTCTAATTACACAGATCATTGAGCTGCACGTACTGGTAGTGTCATGCAGCACAGACATAGTTTACCCAAAATTGAAAATTCTTTCATTTATTTTCATAAAATAAAAACAAAAACGGTCATTGTGACTTTTTATCCTATAGAAAAAGTCAGAATGAGAGAGAGATATTGTTCAAAATATCTTCTTTTGTGCTCCACAGAAGAAAGAACCGCATAGAGTTTTAGATTTACTCAACTGTGAGTCATATAAACTTGCATTTCAAACTTCTTTATTAAATATTTATCTATCCAAAACAACTTCTGAGGCTTAATGGGACAGATCACCGTGTGCTGCCAGCAGATTAAGATATAACTGTTCGATAGTGTTAAAATACTGGTGCTTTCCCCCTAATCCCTTGAGGGTGTAGCAGAGGAGCTCAGTGATGGAGCTAAGCCTTCCTCTCCTCCACTTTCCCATGGATTACCAGGACTGTGTTCCTCTGGAAACAGACTTCTATTAATTCCATTACTGTGAGCTTAATCGGACCGTTCATCAGAGCTAGCCACTTCTTAACCTCCCCTGGTGCAGAGTTTCACTTAAAGTGCAAGTAAATGGCTTGCGCACTGAGAAAGGACCGAATTCTATGTTCTTACATATACTAAAAAAAAGTAGTTTTTTTATGTTTTTAGAGCAGTAGCACTGAGACTAAAGCATTAAGACCCCTTCTGGCTTGTCAAACCAGCAAGTCCTGTGTGTGAATTAGCTCTCTGGTCCGTGCTGGTATACGTGAGCCCACAGTTTTTATGTAGTCAGCAGGTGGCATCATTAGCCAGAGAATAAAAATGAAAAGTATTACCCCGGGGCCAAGCAATGATATCATAGCAAACTCGCTGGCATCCGTAAAGCACTGAATGGGGGGTGCAGAGGTGCAAATTTAATGTTTCTTGCTGTTGGCTTTGTTATATTCATTTGAGGAAGTCTATGTGAATACAAACAGCTGAGATGTAACCAATTATTAATAAAATCAAAGGAAAAGGTCATCTGGTCCTGCTCAGCTTTAATGAAGTATCTGATGAGAATAAATACAGTTGTGGGGCGGTTAAGACAAAGTCTTGTAAAACAGTTCAAGAGGATTGACCGTGCCACTGGGGTGATGTGGGATTGTAGATTGCACACGAGAATGCCAGAAAAGACTGCACATAAAGCTGTCTCAAGTGTGCTGAGGGCAGGAAAACCATTTCAGCATTTTAGACTCAAATGAACAGCGATACAACCCTCAGTAAGTATGATAAATATAGAAATGATGAAAATCCAAAGCTTGGCGGCATTTCAAAGCGTCACTCTCTGCAACAAGCCCGTATGCACATACATTTCTGTCCACAGGATCAAACTCAAGCCAATTGAGTTGACTGCGCCTCCAAGTCATGTTTTACAAATGCGTCACCATTTATACATACACTACACAGAATCCCGCTCATCTCCAGATGCACTTTTGCCACCATTTTCCCTGTTAAACTCCCCAATCCCCCTGAAAATGCTTAACTAGTCCACCTCTGCCAACAAGTTTGATCCTATTAAGAAAATTATATTACGTAGTATCTGAAATTGCAAATTTTGTAGAAAAACTGTGGGGCTGAAAACTCATGAGTGCCAGTTCCCAACAGTGTCTGGCTGATTATTTGCAGATGGGAGCAGAGGTTTCCCCTGGCATGCCATGCATGTGATTAAATCTATGAATGCCTCCCAATTTACATCTCTGCAGATTTAAGAGCGCATATCAGCCATGGTGACAACAAGTGTCTTTATTTGGGCTCAAGTTCAATTGGGAGGCGGTTGTTCTGCCACATGCAGTGAATGACTCATGTTCAAGTGTTTGAGGCTTTGGGGAGGGATGGATAAGTTTGAAATGTTTGACTTTCAGCCCCCCGTGTCCATATGCATTGGCTAAGCAAGGCAACCCTCATATTTACTGATGGGTTAAATCCCTGCGGCTCTTACGAGTGGATTGTTATACTGTTGTTCAAAGCTTAATCAATTAAAAGCGGCTTAGGGCAAAAGGAGGGTCAGTGTATTTGAAACGGGAAAAGGAAAGCGGTATTCATCAAATGCCCACCAGACAGCGCCGCACCGTGACGATCTGATCAACAGTCAGTAGCCTACTTTGAGAATTCATTTTCCAGATTCTTTAAGATCATTCATACTGTACATGCTGCAGCTCTCCAAAACAAGACATGCAAATGACAACTAACCAACCTATCCTAATCATAATGAGATTTGACATTATAAAATCAAGGCTTTAGTAAATTGTGCGAATTATTCAACGACTTTCAGGGTGTCGACTTTTTAAAAGAATGTCAGTAACTTTCCGGAAGCCATTTGTTAAGGTTGGCGCAACGTCTTTAGCATACTTATTCAACCGTCTAGTATCTTAAAGACTTTTAAAGAATATATATATATTAAAAAGTGATAAATCTATGATAAAATGATACATAAAGACAGCAGACACTTACGTTAATTACTGTCCGACACTTTACTGAAAGAACTCGAGCGGAGTACTGTTGCTATGGTTACATCTGTAGACAAACGGGACTTCAGTAGACTATTTAGCGCACTTTGTCAAATTTGTGAATTTACTGAAATGTTGTAATAATTCGCCTATTTTCACACCCACTATGTGAAACTATGTGACTGGAAAGTAGCGCACTTTTTTTTAACCGGCTGTTCAAATTTTTGTCGTTATCTATTAACAAAAATTTGCTTTTAACGCGTTTTAATACCGTTCTCAGTTTGAGAATGGATCAGGACGCCGTTATTAACAAATTAAAGGTGTAACAGTTAAACAAGATGCCGATGGAAGAAAAAGACCTTTAAAATGAAATTTTTAACCGATGATGGCACCATATAGCCTAGAACGCGCATTCTGTGACAGGAACAGATGCTGAAACATAATTCTTCTTGAAGATACAACAAGCCCTAATATTTTCAATTTCGGTAAGCTTCCTAAAAATGTGCAGGTATAGGAAAAAGCGCACTCTCGGATTCACTTCAGCATGCCAAAATAAATAAAATAACAAAACGTGGATGAGAAACAAGTCTTCTTAAAACACGTCATTATTTATGTTAACAATAGTAAACGTGTCTTCTTTTAAACATTTAGCAACATACGTGTGGAAGTCTAAAACTCCGAGGAAGTCTACGGTGCCCCGAAAGCTAGTAGCAACCGAAAGGTTGTACGTTCAAACGTGAAATGATCCACGAACATCACTGAACCCTTGAGCATGACAGCGAACCTCATCCTACAAAAATTACTATGGTAAAGACTGTTTTCGCCAAACTATTACAGTTAGCCTGCAAATAGTTATTCTTCTTATTACTGTAAAACTATGGAAACTATCAAAAAAATTAAGTCAAATCACAGAAAGATTCTGAAAGCGTGACCAAGTTACCATGGTAATTTTTGTGAGGAGAAGTAGCGTAACCAGGTGAGACAGTCCCTGTCATACGCGGACCGTAAGTCTCTCTGTGTAGAAGCGTCAGCTAAATTACTAATTAGAGAATTAGTAAAGCATCTATCAAAGCCACATGCACAGTTCCCTCACCTCTTTTGTTTCTTCTCCAGCGGTGAGACTGCTGCGTCTGACAGTGGCTGTAGTCCACACAGTTCAACACGATCAGCGCAAATGAGAACAGACGAAACTGCATCTGGGCGGCTGTAAGATTGTCCCGACTCACGGTAGAAAGCGTCAAAGGTACTCGCCGCGAGCCTTCAAGGTCCGTATATGATGTTTCAGTATGTATATTTTTCCACAGAGGATCGGGAGAGTTGAGGAGTCCGGACTCAGTTGTGTCACACATTAGAAGGGTAACGTTAGAGAAAACACCATTTTTCACCACCAGTTAATGTCATTTTAGAGAGCGAAACGCGCTTTTTATACACTAAAAAGTACCTCGTTATTGTCTGTGGAGAGAGAAAAAGCTTTTAACTTTAGGTTCAACGTGTTTGCGAGCGAACTATTTCATTCAAAATAACTTAGATTCAACTGAAATAGAGCCAATTTCCAAAAGCGAACGGGACGCAATGGATGCCCTTAAAAGTAGATGCACGGAGCGTAAGAAATATACCTGCGTGAGTCCAGTCCAAAAAAATATAAACTTTGCCTATACATCAAGTTCCTTCCGACTGCCAAAATGGACTTGGAACATCCAGCATCCCTCTCGCAGGAGAAGTTTAGTCCCTTCGTCCCCTAGACAGAGTGAGAAAACACATGGATGCAATAATCTGCAAAAGCTCTAGAATAAACCCTTGAGGTGCATGAGGATGTGTGTGTAACTGTGGCATGTGCTGCAGTGCTCGGCTGGTGATGGAGTATCACTCTACTGGTGCTGATGCTATATAGGCGCTGCTGTCACGTGGAGACTCCAAAGATCTTGTGGGGCTTTTCGGAGCACTTTCAGAAGCCCCTCGGCCAGAGAGAGGGCTGTTTCCCCCCTCCTTGTTTAAGTTTTAGAAGATGACAAATGGAATTTCTCCCACTGTATCTATATTTCCCCAGGGTCCTAGTGCATTGGCTTGAATTAACAGTATTATGAATTGATCTTATATTCACCCCCCCCCAAATCACATCAATAGAGAGATTTAAACAAAAAAGTTTCTCCCCCCTCCTTGTTTAAGTTTTAGAAGATGACAAATGGAATTTCTCCCACTGTATCTATATTTCCCCAGGGTCCTAGTGCATTGGCTTGAATTAACAGTATTATGGATTGATCTTATATTCACCCCCCCAAATCACATCAATAGAGAGATTTAAACAAAAAAGTTTCAAGTTAAAATACTGTATATAAAGCACCGGAACTACAATCTTAATTTCACTGGTTTCATACTTTTGGGAAAAATAAACAAAAACCTAAACAGCCTAAGATGGTTTTGCTGGTTTTCGTAGGGACTAGAAGACCAGCTTGGTGACTAAATAAACGAGTTGAAGGCCAGCTTGGCCAGGACGGGAGACCAGTTTAAACCAATTTAAAGACCAGCAATCTCTCTTAGGGTGGTTTAATTGTTTAATCAACTGGAATGAAATCAGATAAATGAATTCAGAAAACTCAAAATAATTAATACATACAGTATGAGGGAAAAAAATAAGGGTTCTCTTATGATCTCTAATGGCATAATGACGTAAAAGTTTAAGTTTATTGATATTTGGAAACTATAAAATCTAAAGACTGCAATTTATTTTTATACATTAGCTTTAATACAACTTAATACTTCTTTTCAGGTCGAACATAACAGCTTTCATTTAAGATAATATTATTTTAAGCTTTAAACCATAAAAAAAACAAAAAAAAAAGATTTCTGAGACAATTTCCTTTAGAAGCTTATGCCAAAATAGACAATTGCTTTGAAATGCAAGAAATGTTTTACCCAGCTTGGCCACTAGGTGTGGCACTTAATCTTTTATTTATATATAAATTTTTTGACTATCTTAAAATGAATTTTTCTTGCCGTTATTTTTGGCTCAAATTATCTAGCAATCTTCCAGGTGAGGTCAAAGTGTGCAGGTACTGATACACTGATTTATAACAAACAGGTGTTATGCAACAAAACACATATACACCAGAGAAAAGTCCATCCATCCTTAAAAAACATATTTGATACAGTCCCCACGAACCCCATTACCCTCCCCAGAATGAAAAGAAGAAAAAAGACATTTGTCATTTCTAAGTGATGACGCTCTCTCCTCCAGAGCCCTTTGATGTTCAGATCAAAGTGAAATTCTCCCAGAGTCAATGTTAATTATGACGGCTATTTGTCTCTATCAGTGAAACAATGGTTTCATTTCTCATCAAAAAATCTTACTGAAAATATATTTATTCACTTGCCATCATTATGCTAGAGTTGTATCAGGTTGCTTGTAGCTGAAGACTGTCTAAGTTTAGTAACTGCAGAGACATTTATGTGCATACTATATGTAGAACCTAAATATAAAACTGAAGCACCTGAAGTGATCTCAACTCAAAGCTTATGCATTGGAAAAGACTCTGTAATGATCTCTCATATTGCATGCTCTAAATATAGGCCTACTCTTGTAAAAATACATTTGCAATTTGGAAAACAGGACTCAAGAATAATCCCGACAAAAATTTATTAGGGAACATACATTGTATATTTTAAATGAGGCCTGTTTTTGAACAAATGCCTTAACCTTTTCACATAGGAGAAAAGTAATGAACAATGCGAAAAAGGGAAAAATTATGTAGCCTTTTAACCAAAACCTTCATTGACCTTTTCGTTTGGGTGTTTATTTACTTTAAGTGAAGTGACAGACATTGTGGTGGACAACCTTCTCAGCCACACGTCTGCTGTTGGTCTGGATGTCTTACTAAAACAACATCTGAGACAGCACTCCTAAGGTGAATGTGATAATTAAGGGCTAGGGGGGTTTTATTTTCGTAATGTCATGGCACAGGACCGGTAAACCAATCACTTTAGCCCACCCCCCTCCTTCCTCCCCCCACCCCCACGCTCGCTGGGAAAGTAAGGGTGACGTCAGTTGTTTTAGATGTCTGGCTGGGAGCCCGAGCGCTGTGGCAGCTATAAGCCCCCTCTTCACTCGTCCAGAGAGACAGGGCCCATAAACATGTCAGCTGATAGAGAGGCCAAAGCAGACATTAAGACACGCTTCGAATCCCAGCCTGCAGCGTCTGCGAACGAGGGATGGAAATAGAAAACGTATAGAGCGGCGGCAGACGGTAGGTGTCACTTGCAGAAGATGGGATGAGATGGGAAAGGTGGAGAGGCATTATGTTGATTGCCTAGCGCATCTGACATGCCCGTCTGCAAACAAAGGAGGACGAGCGATGTTGAAAATGACAACGCGAGTCGGGACGATCACCTTTCCATGCCCTCTTCGCCGCAGCGGAATGGGCCACTACATAACAGCGCCGTAAACGCAGCAGACTAAACACTCATTTATCATTACGGCACATACATGTGCAGCGGCACAAAACCCCCCGTCCCACTCAGTGACTCAGAGCACATTAAATCTTCATCTATTACACAAAAGATCACAACCACTTAACCCTCAACCACCATTCGTAATGTCCAGGAATAAAATGCAAGCATGAGGTGAACATGGTTTGTAAGTTTTTTTTAATTTTTTTTATTTAATACCAGACGCATTGAACCCAAGTGTAAAAAAAGGCCTCTGTCTCGCTCCTTTGAGGGACACGAGAGGGAGAACAGGATGTTTGGCCGCAGTATGGGAATGCTGGAAAGTTAGATGGAAGTGTACGTTCCACAAAGATCCACTCAAAAGCCAGTATCCTGAGCTGCCCAGTTTGGAGTCTGAATAGAGAGGAAGAGAGAGCCAAAAAATGTTATTACCCAACACAAACGCAGGTGAGTTCATTATATATGAATGAATATGCTATAGAGTGCTACATTATGTATTTTTGTTGGCCAACCTGGAAGTTCGTATCACTATGGAAGCCCATTTCTGCCACGTAATAAAAAGTTTTATAAAAATAAAAAGTTAAATGCTTACTTTTTCGCAATTCTGATTTTTTTTTTCTGACAATAAAAATAAAAAATGTAATTGTGACTTTTTCCATCTCATAATTCAGATTTTTTTTCTTCACAATAGCGAGTTTATATTTCACAGTTTGCATATTATAAACTCACAGTTGCAAGTTAACATCCCACAATTCTGCCTTTCTCAGAAAACTTGCAATTCTGAATTTATATACATTAAAACAATCAGAATTTTGAGATAAAAAGTGGCAGAAACAAGCTTCCAAACATCACCCTGGATCCCTCGACAAAAACCCAATTGGATTTTTCATTGGCTTTTGGATGATATCAGAAAATAGGTTGTGATCAATTAAGGTTTATAAGTCTTATCATGAGAATCTTCAGAAACGAACACAACTATGAATTTTGAAGCCTAAATCGCCTTTGCTATTAATTACACCACGGTCACATGACTTCAGTGTCACCATCACTAAGCTTCCATCAACTCTTTCAGTCTTTAAAAAAACATTTTCCCTGGAATTTTGAGTTAGAATAGTTTACAAGAGTGTGATTATAAACAAAAAGAGGCTGTGAAAGTGGACTGGTTAGTAGATGAGTTTTCAAGATTACGTTATACTGTCCCTGACAACCTCTGTAGTCCCATTTAGCTACAAAAGCTTACAAAAAAACCCCCAAAAAACAAGGTGGTATTACTGATGTAGAATAAAACACGAAAATATCGAGTTCACGTTCGCAACATTCCGTTGGGTTTTCCCTGAGAAAATGTTAAATTAAATTGCGTCTGGCCAAACACATCAAAATACAGGACTGTGTGTTATGGCCTTTGCCATTGTGGTGTTTGTGTGATTGAGTCAGTTAAATGATGTGCTTTGAGGGACTGAGACATTTAAAGGGCGTTATTTTGAAACACTCTATTTCAAACGAAGCGAGGGCATGTTTGTCGTGGGCCTCGGTGGGCCAATCAGTGCGCTAGGCCAAGATCAAACGGAGACCGACTGGACCCCAAGCAAAACATCTGTGGTGACTCCTGAACGCAGGGAACTCCATGGAGCATGTGTGCGATTGTGTGCAAGCATTATTTACTCTGCAGCGCTGAGTCATGGGACTCAGACCTTCTTCTTTATGGCTGTGCTGTGCTACACCTTGTCATTAGGCCTTTGAAGAAAAACGGCATGATGAAAGCGCTCACTCTGTTAAACTTGCTCTTACTGGTTTACGCCGTGTAAAGACAGTTCTGGGCTGAATGCCACTCGACATTCTTCTGGATAGATCATTTGTGTGTAAACTACAGGGCTCAAGACGAACAGAGATGAGATCAGATAAAAGAAGTGAAGGAGCGATGCTCTGCTGCTTTGACCTCATTCCTGTTTGCGTGGCTCTGCTTCTTCTCGATGTTCATGGCCAGCATTTGGCTGCGGAATGAAAGGCTCTTGGTTTTTTCGATCACCTGCTGATATGG